GAAAAGCAAGTGTTGAATAGAACATGTTCATCGTTTATAATTCGTTCACTCATATCTTCACAAAATTGTAATCGCCGATCAAAATCGTCTTCATTAAGTTCTTGTACCAGGTGAATTTTATATTGATGAAGACTATGGGCCTTTAGGATCCGTTGGACATTACCTCGAGTAACACCACACACAGTCTCCAATTCGCGGGTACTTAACGTAGGATCTACATAAACTTGCCCTAAAACCCCCACTTCTATTGCTTCGTTCCTTATGGGATTTTCAATGTTGCGTTTTTTATTGGCGACTGACCCAGTTTCCCGAAATTTAGCTACAAGTTCTAGAACATATTTTCGATGAACGTTACTGTTCTCATGTCGCTCATTAAATATTTCTGCTGTTCTGTTAGCGCACTGATTATTTCCGAAAAACATTTCGATAATTTCAACTCTTTCTGCTGTGGAATATACGATGGTTAATTTATGTAATAAAGCGTTACAAGTTATTTTAGCAACAAAGTTTGGTCAAATCAATCGCAAACTGTGTACTAAATTCCAATTTGAAGTAAGTACAAGATATTTCCATATCTCCCTTCAAGAAATAACTTTTTGCCACAAAAAACGCTCCAATAGCTATTTTCAACAACAAAGTGATAAAAAAACCATGGCGTAGTGAAGAAAAGCATTTACTTGTTAAGTAAATTCTTTTAGTCAAGTTTCTTCTGAAAGTAGTACAAACTAATCTGATGTATCTATGAAAGTCTACTTTGCTTTATATCAATAAATCTTCAAAACCACTGAACTGAAGCTCATGTATCTTACATTATTATAAAGCTGTGAAAGGCATTCTAAATAAGGTATCACTCGACCCCCCTTTCCATTTAAGATTTTAGGGTTGGTGTCACCCTCGCTCAGGGGGCTGCACGTGATAACGTGATTTTTTGCCAAACTTGTGTCCCCCTCGAAAATAAAATCGACAGGTCTGAGCATTTTTCCAAAAAAAAAACTGCTGCCAGTAAATGCGTGTTGCGTTTTCGATGCGCCACCCTGTATACTACTTTTATTTACGAACAATAACTTAGTTAAATTCTTGTATTTCATTGAATTTAAGCAAGTTGAGAAAAAAATTAGTTTCATATAAAACATACAGGGTAACAGAGTATTCATAATTTTATGTATTATTCATAAGTAAGAAACAATACTGTGATTTTCCATGTCAAACATGAGAGTAAAGACTTAATTCATGTTAACTACAAAGAGGAATATAAAAAGATATTTTTGTTGTTTAACTATTCAATAAATAAATGATAGTAACAGAGTTGTTACTTTTTTGTATCCTGACCAAGTAAATCTTTTAAAAATCAAAAAATAGAGACGAATGACCGCGCCTAGCTTTGAAATTGAATTTTATAAGGTTATGTTTATAACATGAATATCGTACAACAAAATTAAACAAGATTTTATTTCTTTTTTTAGAATCAAGATCTATTGCCACGTTTTCCTGCAACCGATTTTGGAATTTTTCGTATTTCTAGTGGACGCAGTAACAGTTGCGCCACGTTTTCCCCATATTAGTCAAAGTTGGAGCCTGCTTTTAAAAACAATCACTATGCTTAGGTGGTGCTTCTACCGCCGACAACACTGAGTGGTCTTGTTTCAATGACAAAACATTTCGATGGAGCGATCTTTGCTCTCGACTGTACATGGGAACCCGGACTGTACATTTGAGGGTCTAAGCAATTTAAACACCGCTGTGCCGCCAAAGCCAATTAAACTGCTTTGCGATCCCCGTTCTTCCCCGGCATGCATAAACAGCATTTTGTGTGTTATCTAACGCGCCGATCTTCCGATGCTGGCGGTGTTTAAGTGACAATGGCCGGCGTTCCAAATTCGCAAGCAATTCCCGCAACGCGATACCGAAATTTTAACAGCTTGTTCCAGCCGCCTGGAAATGAGATACCTGGATGCAACGCGGTTCGAGAATTCTATTTATTGTTACGACTCAATTTTAGCAGGGGTTACTTTTCAAAACTGCGAGGTTTTGTTGCGGAGAAAGAACATTTGACGATGACAGTACAAAAATTTTTTCGATAGACCGAAAATCTGAAGCTCAAGGTGGATGTCTTCTCTCCAAACTTTTGCATGGATCAGTCACTCGATCCTGCAACTCAGAAAGTGATGGTTTGAAGTCAATCTCCCAGAGAAAATAGTGACATAATATCGGCACTTTTAGGCCCAATTTCACCAACAACAGCCCGTTATTCTGCACCTATAGGGTAACAGCCCGTTAAATACAACGAATGAGCTTCAAGTTCCAATCAACAAATTTTAGCAACCAATAGCTATGAAATGTTGAAAACAAAATACTGTCAAAGTATGAGATGACAACTTGTCATTGAAACATCACCAGCTAATTGAATATTAAGAAATTACGTATAATTCAGTCGAAATTTTAAGAAATGTTTGATTTTTGAATTAAATTCATGTTTTAATTTCTATTGTTGATTTTTATTCATCTTTATATTATTTTCTTCAATTGATATGTGATGCTGGGTGTTTGCCGTTCATTAGAACCACTATGGCACCTTAGATTGACATTCCCACAAGACGGTTCAGGTTTTTTGATATCCATACATCCATAAAGTTGAATATTTTTCGTTGTTCAGGAACTGAACAAACATCCACACTATATTTACAGCGATTAAGAAATTCCCAAATATATGCCTTAAAGCTACCAGCAAACCTAAAACCTGTAAAAAAAACTACAAATTTGCCATATTTTTCTTTTTTCACGAGTACACATTCTAGGTTATATTTATATTAGACATTATTTGAATACAGCTGATTATTGCATTTCAAGGGGTGACACATGTGTGGGATCTGTCAACTCTTGATACCAGTCACAAAACATATTATACTCTGAAGGTTTAATTCCATGCTATTCAATGACAGCACGGTAACTTGTGTGGTTATCAGCGGCCATTTTGTGAGGGTGCGACAGAGTTGCCAGATTGTGCATTAATATCCCGTTTCACCCTCCTGGTCCTAGTGGAGTAAGTTCTGCCAACTGTTGAAATAAATTTTACTATGCTTTATAAGACTATTCGTGACATTTTTCCCAAAATCGTTTCACAACACTGAAAAAAATGCAAATGAAAATTTAAAATTATTTGGGTTATACATCTTGACAGTAGGGATGTTCGATACGCTCCTATATTTAGAGGTATCAATATATTTCACGAGTATCGTCATCTTTCGATCCGGACTGTGTCAGAAAGAGTGACTGCCATTTGGCTGCTACATTACCCTGCCAAATCAGACATATCTTTCATTATTTTCAAATAAATTGTACAAAATCTTCAAATTTGTAAAGTTAGCGAGTTTCACTTCACGCGTTGTTACCAGACATGCCCAGATCATCAGTTGCTGCCGTGATATTCATCCCGACCACTGCATCCCCACGGCTAGGCGACCTGTATGTTAAATTTGTATTGATAGGGCAGTGGGTTATGCTATAAATCATATGTCACAGTGTTTGTGCACTGATCGCAACGGTTAGATGATACCACAAATTTGTTCATAAATAGGAGATCTTTCCCGTTCCGGATCGAATAATCTACCAAAGATGCTTATAATCATGATACCTAGTAAATTTTCAAGAAAAGATTTCAAAACCAGCAAAAGTAAAAGATTCACTTCGCACCCTCCGCCACGGGACGTGATCGTCATTAGACTTGGCAACCCTGCGAGTGTCAGATAGATATCCCCGCCAGTCAAGAAGAAAAATAGACAAACAATAAACATTACTAGTTTTTTTTTTGATTTTTGGACTTAAAAACCATTACCTGTGAAACATTTTTCATAATTTTTTGTCTATGTCCATAGTAATTGCGTTATTCAGGGAGATGTAGGGATTGACACGTCTTACACCTATTATCTGTGTTTTAGGACGGAGAGGCCATAATGTTTTTATTGGTTTGAACAAATTGATTAACCCATAAATTAATAAATGATTACTATTATGACGTAAAGGAAGATGATGAATTGGATGTAATGTATTTAATATTCTATTTTCTTGCAAAATACAGACAAATCCACACTATTCAACAGGTATGTAATGATAACTTTCAGTATATTGAAGTTGGTAAATTCGAGAGTGACATGCATTAGCAAACGTCCAAATCTGCTGCCAAATTTAACAGCTAGAAAATCTACCTATTATTTGCCGCATTCCCGTTCGCTGAGGGGGATAACGGATTTTTAAATGTAAACCTATAACATATATCAAAATACATGAAAGTTGTCCTGTTTTTTCTGTACAAAAGCATCATGCGGTTTTGGAGAAAATAACGGAGACTAAAGATCTTGGTGTAACATTTTCCTGTAGATTGGACTTTTCTGTCCATGTAGCACGCGTCACTTCCGAAGCGGCACGAATTCTGGGTTTCGTAATGCGTAACTGCCGATCTTTTTCCAATGAAGCGGCACTTAAAGCTCTTTTTATTTCACTGGTGCGACCAAAACTTGAGTATGCTTCTTGGAACCCTTTCTACGAGTATTATATAAACATCTTTCTTAAATACTGTGCTGCTGCGCCGTTTTGAACTAGAGTCTCGACAGTTGAGACGTTCTACATGCTGGCCTGTCATTCCTTCATAGGCTTTTGCACGGTACCAATGTATTATTTTATTCTCCGCTACATTCTATAGGCAACAATTATAATTCCATAGCAGACAGTTCTGACATTAATTTTGTTTGTATCAGTAAGATCTTGTCGAATTTCAGGTACTGTTTAATAGCTAATCCTGTTTTTTGGGTTAGTTTTATGTATACATTATATGTATGTATTATCAGTAAAGATACCATTATCTTGTCCTCTAATTGGAATAGTTCTGTTGGGCAGTTATGTATTAAATAAATAAATAAGAGACACGCCTGGTGCATTCGTCAATGTATTACGCACCCAATCTTGGAGTTCATAGGCTAGGAAATAAATAAAACTAATTGGATTATGTTACTACATTTATTGCTGCATCCGGTCTTCCAAGATGATTTGAAGAGAATAAGATAACATAAATCATTTAATCACAGATGTTCACTACAAAATGCGTGCAGATAGGTTAGATTCAGCCTACATTTACATACCGGGGTTGTTTTTCTCTTGAATTAGGAAATTCATCAAAATCTAAAAATATCATCTAGAACATATTATAAAATGTGGCATTCAACTCGTAAGACATTGTCCTTGATTATGTTTACTACTATTACACTGTTGCCATTATTTACTGACTAGCTTTAGTATATGTCACCCCCACACAGTTTTCGATATCACATCACACTTTTTATACAATAGAAGGTTCACCAACATATCCCTCGTCAGGGCTTTCCGTGGTTAACTCACTACTAGTCCTTTGACCTTCCGTTTTCCTGCTGCCTTGCGCCGAATAGTCGCTCTCACTCTCAGTGTCCGTTTGAGCGCTGGCACTGCGCCTTTGGGCCATCAGTGGAGCCCCCCGTACTGGTACCTGTAATGTAAAATACTTACTAAGAAGATCAGACAGAAACGTCAATACTTAGGTAACAATACAACGATTCATGATGAAAAAATTGAAGTAGTCGGATCATTTAAATATCTGGGTATACATCTGGATAGTAAACTACTGTTTCACGAACATTATTTTCGTATGTACATATTCCACAAAATTGTGTATAGCACTATATTTCTGCTCCATTTTTTATACTGTTCAACCACCTTATTTACAGCAAATTAAAGCATATTTTCGAAATTATAAAATCTACAAAATAAAGATACGAGAATCATTTTAAATAAAAACAAATATGCTAGGATTAAGTCTATTTTAGAGGAACTACGGAGGCTAAATGTAAAAAATGTCACATGTTATTTAGTTCTCATTTTCATATAAAAATCAGTTATTATCACAACATTTAGAATGCTTCACAAAATTAAATAGCCACTATCATAACTACGAAACTAGAGGCAGTATAGATTTTCATCTGCAAAATTATAATAGTAGCATAACTAGCAAAATCGCTGTATGAATACTCAAAATGCATAGTGATGTCATTTTAATAGACAAGAATGTAAAATTAGATAAAATAGATTCAAACGATGTGTAAACGAATAATTAGACAAAACTGATATTGTAGCATTAATGCTAAATAAATCTTCAACAAACAAATACTATATGTGAAAGTGTGTATGATTGTTCCGTTTTCACGCTAAAACGGTTAAACCGATTTGGATAAATTTTAGCACAGATGATATGGACATGGTCTTCATTTTGTTGCGATAATTAGACTCGAATGGATTAAGGGATAAAAGGCACAATGCGGAAACTATTATCCTTTAAAGCTAGGTATACTGATGTGGGTTACACGTTCTGTTCTTTGATGCAGTGTAAATGGATATTTACAAATAAGTTTTGTCAATTCCACCCCTACGGAGGTAAAGTGAGAAATCACACTTTTTAAGTTTTTTTTGTAGAGAATTTAGAACATTTTAAGTTAATCCACCCTAAAAGTAGAAGTATGTTTTGTCTTCATTTTTTTCATTAAATCAATTGTTATTAACAGTCGCGTTGAATGTTCCTTTGAGGAACCGTACTACTTTTAAGCTTATAAAGGGTGATTTTTTAAGAGGTATAGGATTTGATTTAAAAAAAACAAAAAACTTGAAAAAACGATCAAATATTTATTTGAGTCGATAGAACGGTCGATATAATTTAATGTTTAGAGATTATTTCATATAAATGTGGGCCGCGGCTCCGCTTTAGATGGCCCATGCGCAAGGTCCAATTTTGGCCAACTCTCTCCAACATATCGGCCGGTATCTCACGAATAAATGCTTCAATATTAGCTTCCAGTGCGTCAATCGTTGCTGGTTTATCCCTGTAGACATTAGCCTTAACATGACCCCACAAGAAATAGTCCAACGGCGTTAAATCACACGATCTACGCGGCCAATTGACGTGAGATAAACTGTTCACCGAACTCGCCTCTCAATAGGGCCATTGTTTCGTATGCGGTGTGGCATGTGGCACCGTCTTGTTGAAACCACATGTCAGCCGCGTCCAGCTTTTCCATTTTGGGCAAAAAAAAGTTTGTTATCATCGCACAGTAGAGCTCGCCATTCACAGTTACGTTCCGGCCATTGTCGTCTTTGAAGAAGTACGGCCCGATGATGCCACCGGCCCACAATCCACACCAAACAGTGATTTTTTCAGGATGCATTGCAATGCTTCTGGCTAGTCTTCACTCCAGATGCGGCAATTTTGCTTGTTAACGTACCCATTCAACCAGAAAAGAGCTTCGTCGCTGAGCACAATTTTTCGATAAAAATGTGGATCTTCCTCCAACTTCGCCAGCGCCCATTCACCAAATTGGAAACGTTGTGGGAGGTCGTGTGGCTTCAATTCTTGCACCAGCTGTATCTTATAAGGTTTTACACTCAAATACTGTCGCAGAATTTTCCACGTAGTGGAGTAACAGAGGCCCAATTGCTGCGACCGGCGGCGAATCGACATTTCACGGTCGTCACTAACACTGGCGGATACAGCCGCAATATTTTCTTCAGTCCTCACTCTACGTCTGCGTGTTGGTGGTTTAATGTCCAACAATGTAAACTGGGTTCGAAATTTAGTCACAAGCTTCCGAATAGCTCCCTCAGTAGGCCGACCAAATTGCCCATAAATTGGAAGCAGCGCTCGATGCACTCTCTTAACCGAGCATGAATTTTGAAAGTAAAATTCAATAATTTGCAAGCGTTGTTCGTTCGTAAGTCGATTCATGGTTAAATTATAGACCAAACTGAACAAGTTTGACAATGACACAAGACACGATTCACGTGTCATCTGTCAAAAACAGTGTTGCCGAAAAGATACTAGCAAAAAAATCACCCATTAGAAGTTCATCTGGAACACTATTTGACCCACGAACGTGAAATAGGGTAATTTAAGGACAAGACGTGTCACCCGAAAACTAATAATGACAGGGATCCTTCAAGGACGTTGTGGGCAGATATATTTAAATGCGGAAACATTTTCGCTCATTGGTCAGGGTCTTAATAACTGTTTAACCTATGAACATTAAAACTCTCAGAGGGGTAGCTTATGCACTGAACATATGAGATAAGAACGTAGTTTGAAACCAGGCCGGAACAAGGGCGCTAAGGGCGCACGACATGAAGTTCATATAGGCATATTTCCGCAAATCCTGCGTTCTCAAGACACGGGATGTTAAAATTTTCCACCGACAACAACTAATACTAAATGACATCAAGATAATTAGTAAATAAAAAAATATAAAAAATAATAATTTCCAAAACAAACTGTTCCCCGTAATATTCATTGTATCGACCAGTGATATGCAAGTGAGTGGACTTTTTTGTCTCAAAATCCGAACAAGATACGAAACAAATCCAATTGCAAAAAGTTGTATTTGTATTTCATTAATCCAAAGACTGTGATCGAAATTGCACAAAAGTCAGTGGCGCACATTTTTTTGTCACAAACATTCGTTCAGATCCCGCTTGAGACGCCACTGGACTTGATAAATTTTAAGAAGTTAGGGCTGAATTAACAACTTGATGTTATAACTATCAGCGCCAAATTACAACAAAACTAAGAAACGCATACTTAAGATATTTACAAAGTCCGTTTTTTTTTATGTTTATATGAACGTTTTGTTTTAAATTTACTCAGAGAATCGTCTGTTTAATTTATGGTACATTCTTGATTAACACCCTGTATACAGGCTGCCCGCAAAGTTGGGGTTTTCCTTTATACGACGTGTAGATCTTGAAAACATAAGCAATTTTTCTTAGTACCATATACACCAATGTCTTAAGGGAACCGAGATAAAGGGCTCTGCAACATCAAAAATATCTGAATACCGTCCTGTAGCCGCGACCCGCCGCGATATCCCCGACTGTTACAAGGTCTCAACCCGACGGCAGAACTGGGTCGGTGTCAGTGTGTCAGGTTAGTATGCAACCTTCAACCGACGGTTACGGTCACGCGTGTAGAGGTAAACGAACTCGTATAATCGATTGCGTTTCAAAAAACAACAAGCACTAGAGACGTGGCTAGAGAAGTGCAAGTATCAAAAACTAAAGTGTGGCAAACGCTGCGTGAAGAGGGGCTGTATCCGTTTCACGTCCAACGTGTACAAGAACTTCAACCTGACGATTTCCCAGCAAGAGTGCGGTTTTGTGAGTGCAATGCAGTTTATTAAATTTAATCATTCGTTAAAACGCTGATTTTTTCCACTAGTATTAGTTTTCCAGTTTGATTAATTAGTAAGAAATAAAGTATATTTTTTAGTACCTACACGTTTTAACATATGGCTCTTTTAATTTCGTTTTGCAAAATAAAATCAATTTTAATCATACTTAAAAAATATAAAAAAACTAGAATAATCCACAAACGACAAAACACAGTGTTTAAAACATGTTTTAGATAGTTTAAAACAAATTGGTTTAAAACACCTTCTTTGTTTTAAAGAGTGTTTAAAACACTTGTTTTAAAGATTTTGATTAAAACATATTAACAACCCTCGTCTTGATCTTGATTTTCAGAAAAATTTTCGTATGGGTTGAAATTCAGAGGTTGGGTGTTGTAGGAGGAGAGCGATCGTAGCATCTTTATATGTTACCAGCCCCGGTAATTCTATGTACCCATTGGCTAAATTTCATACATCATAGACTTCTCCGTATATTGTGCTACTAAACCCATCTCAAAAAGTATCGACAAAAATGCATAAAAGCAAAACTCCTGAACTACTTTGTGATTCATAGATATCTAACACATAACAGTTGTGCAGTCAGCCAGATGTAACATGATTCTTGGTAAAAAACCCTCATACGGAAACGTCGAGGAAACATACTGCTCCCAAATCGGCGTCTTCCAAAAGTACCTACCATACATCTGATAAAGCAAAAAGAGTATCTTTTCTCATTCCATATACGAAATATTGTTCATAAAGAAATACATTTTGAGAAAATCTATTAATGGCATGTTATACATGACAAGTGAGGGCACATTTCTAAAATACTAGCAATTATACAGGGTGTCCCACTTTTGACCTACATATCAAAGTTGTGATTCATTAAATAGAATGCCTCAAATTTTATTGCATATTTCGATAAGCCGATTCAAAAGAAGAAGACTGATATGACATACTATGTGGTTTTGGAAATTAGCGACTGAGATGTAAGGTGTTTTGTCCAGAAAAACCGTCCACTGCGGCAACCCTTCAATCCGCCATTTTGAAATCTGGAGTGCTGAATTTTGTATCAAAAAAAACTTACATACCTCAGCTTTTATCTTATTTGTTACTTTTTCGAATTTTCATTTTTGCTCATACAGGGTGGTCAAAAACGCAACATTTCTTACACACTGTCGTGATTTTGTTGTAAGAAAAATTACATTAGTCTTATTTATTGTTCATTTGCCATTTACGACTTTCTTTAACATGAAGACGTTTTACAAGTTTCTTGTATTTTGCTACTTTTCTTTCCAGGTAGTACCAGCATACCCTGCATTCTCTAAAACTGGTTCCTCTGACCCTGATATTTATTTATTTATTTATTTATTAGCAGCAGATTCAACATGTATACAGTTTTTTACATCATATTAAATATATAGACTTTACAATTATTGTATAATATTTAAATCCAGCTATCTATTCTTAAAATTACCCACTATTGCTAATAGTTTTAGATGCACAATTGTATTCAAAATACTGTGTGTGCACCCCATTCACATTGTTAAGTGTAACTTTTTCATTGAGGTTCTTAATTCTAGTTTACAAAGAGAAAAAGAAATATAAAAATAGATCAAACAAATTCAAAGCTATTATGTTATATCCTAAATTTTAGGAACTTAATACCTTTAATGCTACAGGTTTTTATATTACATAATTAATGGCGTATGACCTATTCGCCTGAAGAGGTCAGATGGCTGGTGGAATTCGCCAGGTTAAGGGGTATCAGGGTATTGTTGGAGGTCGACACGCCAGCGCATGCTGGAAACGGGTGGACTTGGGGACCTAAGGAGGGTAAGTCCATGTTTCTTACATACCTGTCTCGGTGGTACTATGCCACTGGCAACTGGCTGATGAAGGTGAAGATTAGCTGGAACGCAGCTGGGCCACTGGACTCTACAGTAAGGCAGAGATGCAGGTGCTAGAGCCTCAGGTGGCAGATTCTGCGGTGGTTGGTATAAGGGCGGTTGCGTCCTAGCTGGATATCTGGAATCAAGACATAATGTTTCAGCATATCCATATTGAGACGATTCATGGGGTATTCCCACGTATTGTAGTACGGCATGCTTTAAGTTCAAATCGTTGTAGAAACAGCCTGGTAATAGAACAAAGAAATTTCCAAAAACCCTGCAAAAATTCTATAATGGACAAACATTTGGATTTATATAAATGAAGTAGTCTTCTAGTATAACGAAAAGTTCCAGATCCTGCGGTAGGCAGGTACCGAAAATTCTTTCAGACACTGTTTGGTCTTTACGTTACGGTCCTATATATATATATATATATAACTTGAGACGTGGTCGTTGTCGGCTAGACCAGTTAGGTGAAAAATTGAAGCTTCCGCCTTTTTTTGGGTACTTCGACAAAATTTAAGCAAGGAGGACTCTTTATACTTTTTTTATTCTCTCTAGCTTTCAATGGTCTTTGCCATCATCATCAGGAGCTGCAATTACATTGATAACAGTAGCAACAATGGTGTAAAATGAATTTAAATTAACTTACAGTAGAATGTGATGATTTTGCTAATTGTTGTTTACGTTAAGGATGAGGGAAACACCCAGTAACATGGTGAAAGATGGACAAATGGTACAATGGTCAAGATTATATAAAATACACACAGCTGTATGACAAAAACAAGTTAAAAACATTAAGAAAATTTTAGAAATTGAAAGTTAAGCATTACATCGTGAAGACACTTGATGATTGCACAAAATGGTGGGCATGGAATAATGAGTAAGATGAACCTTCGGCCATCTGTCAAAAATATTTTTTTATTAATCTTAGGATTTATCGTATTTTGATCTAAAGATTTTCCTATTAGCACATACTTCGTTTTGTTTGTGTTTAATTTGACATTTAACCAATTTATTACGTTTTTCATATCATTATTCAACAGCTCTATTGCAGCTTCAATGTCTTTGTTTAGTGTATATATCCTTGAATTTCTTTGCGTAGAAGGCAACGTATTGCAAAAGCACACTCTTATAACTTAAACACGAGCTTTCGAACATCTATGTCTTGAGCTGGAAACAAATATTGATAAAAACAATAAGCAATTAGGAGGAAAACATAATTACTTACTAAGTCGGCGAGATTGTTGCTGAAATTGTTTTTAATCAACAGTGTTCAGTTCCAGTAACAATTTCGCCGACTTAGTTTTTTCCTCCTAATTGTTTATTGCTGCTATTGTCAATAATTGTTTCCAGCTCGAGACGATGAAGACATAGATCTTCGAAAGCTCGAGTTATAAGAGTGTGCTTTTGCATTACTTTGCCTTTTACCCAAAGAAATTCAAGGATATCTTCTCCTAAGGCAATTAACTATGAATTTTGTAAAACATCAGCAATATCGTTACTATATAGAATATATAGTAATGGACCTAATTTGCTACCCTGTGGAACACCTACCGAAATATTTTTAATGCTTTGACTTCTATTGAACAAATAATTTTGTAATATCCTTAATATTGAACCCCTTTGAATCTACAGTAATGCAATTTTCGTTAACAATTTCTCCCTGTCAATGAATATCATATGCTTTCTTGAAGTCCAAGAACAAAATTACTGTACATTTTCTTTTCATCCATATTTCGCCTCCATTCTTCTACTACCATTTAAATTGCTGCTTTAGTAGAATACTTATTTCTGACATCTGGCGGTATAACTCAGAGTTTTGCACTTTTGGAGGAGGATTAATTATAGAACATTTTAATTTCGAATGAAATTTGCCATATCCTAAACAGTGCTTCACTAACAATGATAACTTCTCTCCAATGATGTTAGAGCATGCTTTCAGAACCATTATTGCAAGATGTTCACTAGGATTCCTATTGGATTTCAATAAATATTTTTGCACATTCTCAATAATTCATTCTTTCTACTGGGAGATACAATATTTTTTAGTGTCTTCTACATCTTTATTGCTGTCGATTTTGTTTTCATAATATCTTTTCTTTCCATCCCTAAGATTTGTTAAACACGTGATTCTTGATTTCTCATATTGTATCCAATCTTCCTCAGTTTAAGTGATCATAAACGTTTTACAGTCGCTTTCACGTGTCAATTTAGGGTCTACAAATACTTGTGAAAACCAGAGTGCTGGCTTTTTCCGTTGATAAACCATTTTCCTATTTTTTCCTTTTATAACATATACTAAGTGACATATAAATCCGAACACCCAGTTTAAATTTTTTTTATTTTAATACTCGTAAAATTTTTTATAAGTACTTAATGAAGCATAATAAGTAAATGATAAAAATTTCAAAATGATTGCACTGCTTTAAAGCCCTTTGACCTTTAATAATGTGTGGATGCACCCTGATGTGCTACGCATTCTCCAACGCGCCTAGGCATGCTTCTGATCAAGTGGGCAATGTCCTCCTGTGGTATCTCATTCCAGTCAACCACCAACTCCTCTCGAAGTGCTTCTAGAGTCTGAGGAGGACGTTGCAAATTGAGCAATCTCCTACCCACCATATCCCACACGTGCTCAATTGGGGATAAGTCGGGAGATCTTGGTGGCCATGGTAACAGTGTGACATCATTATGTTGAAAGAAGTCTATTGTGACTCTTGCAACATGTGGTCGGGCATTATCTTGTTGGAAAGTTGGATCTGCCAGGGTGTCAAGATAGGGTAAAAGATGGGGTTCTAGAACTTCGTGGATATAACATTGCGCGTTCATGTTACCTCTGATGAAGATTAAAGGTGACCTGGAACCATAAGCTATAGCACCCCAAACCATAACTCCAACAGTGTGATGAACATGTCTTTCAACAAAAAACTGTGGATTCCTCCTTTCACCACGTCGCCTTCTAACCCTGGCACGACCATCGTGCATGCCTAAACAAAATCGAGACTCGTCACTAAAGACAATACTGTTCCATTCCTGATCCCAGAGTGACCGTTGTCTGCACCACTCAAGGCGATTACGTCGGTGTTCTCGAGTTAAAGGGAGGGCCCAGTGTGGCCGGTATGAAAACAAGCCAAAAAAACAAAACTTCTCGGTAAACACTTCGCATGCCAATAGGTCTTCCGTGTTCTGCAAACCATTCATTTGCAATGGACCTGGTAGTGGAGAAACGGTCCCTTAAGGTCAATAATCTTAGGCGGCATGGTCTGTTGTTCTACGGCGGCGTCCAGTTCCCCTTGCTCTTTGCGTACGGCCTTCTCGAAACCATGCCTGACAACACCTAACCACAGTGTCTACACTTCTTTGCACTCTAACTGCAATTGCCCGAAAAGAAAGTCCAGCTTCCCGAAGTTCCACTATACGGCCCCTATCAAACTCACTAAGTTGACGAAATCGTACAGGTCTCCGTACTCTAGGCATCGTAACCGATCGTAAAGGATGTCAAGAACCAAAATCCGCCAACGTTGATTCTTTACTGCGGCTAAAATATTCATTTTTAGAGCGTTAGTGAGTTAAAAAAAAGCAGTATAAAAACCGGAATGTCCAACTGATAAGGCTGAACATTTTTTCACTTGTTATTTACAGTAAGATAAATACATTCACCAACTTTTATTAAAATAAAACCATTTAAACTGGGTGTTCGGATTTATATATCACTTAGTATATTTGCTTCAGACAAAGTTCAACTGAGCGCGGTTCAAGTTTCCATTGAACAGCCGGGAAATGAAACCTGCATCCGGTTTAACGGTAAACCAAGCTTAGTTAAGGCCAGGTTCAAGCTTGCATTGTGTAACCGCCCCTAAGACCTACTAAGAATACTCAAGCCATATTGATAAAACTCCTGCGATGGCTAAGGTCATCCACTCCCATCTTACCGTGAAAATACTTTATCGGAGTAAAGAAACTGATTCCGTCTCTTCATCATGTCCGTACGTCTCATACTTTTAACAATGTTACAATGTTATTCATACAATGCAGTAAACTTTATCATCCTCTAGTCCCCATAAGTTTCAGAAACTAACGTGGGAGGCAAGTCGCTGGTGCAAAACTTAGCGGAAAAGTTTTTCAGTAATTCCATAATACTGTGAATTAGGTGAGTTACATAGAAAGTTTTTGCGCTAAGCGTACGGAGGGAAAATCAGAAACAAAGCTTCGGAACCATACACATGTTAAAAGTTTGACAGTTCTATAAATCTAACCAGGACAATGTGCAGTTACATAATAGGTACAGCGTGACACAAAAGTCACAGACCGGTCCTGTATATGGTATTTTTATTATAAAAGGTACAGTTACTTTCAACAAGGAATTCAACGGTGACCTTGGATTTGAACTTGACCATCACATTCAACGTCAATTCGTGGTCAACTTTATTTTTTCAAATAGAAACCTCTATTTTTGTAGTAAGCAATCAAAAAAATCCAAAAAAAAGTCCAAGGTCAGGATGACTGCTAAAGGTTTAAATGTATGCCGCTAACAAAACGTCTATAAATCTCACAAGATGAGTGATGAAAATAACTATCAATGTCAGGTATAAGGTATATTTGGACAAGGAAGTGAACACTGACCTTGAATTCGACCTTGAACCTCACCTTCAAGATCATTTCAAAGCCAACTTGATTTTTTTAATGAAAATCTATATTTTGATGCCAGATAAAAGATCAGAAAATATTACGTTCAAATACGAATTTAAATGCAAGGTGAGAGTGCTATCAAAAGGTCCAGTGTGCTGCTAGGAAAACCTTCATAAATCCTACAGGTTAAGCAATGAAAACAACTATCAAGGTCAGCTCTTTGGTAAATTTCAATGAGCGAGTGAACAGGGATCTTGGATTTGACATTGAACTTTACCTTTAAGGTCATTCCATAATCAATTTTCCTCCAAATAAGAACCAAAAACTTAGCCGAAGCCAACTTAATTTTTTTAATGTATTAGTAGTAAGTTTTAACAAAGGAGCTACGGTGCTCGTTCCAAATGATGTTCAACCGATACTGTTCTTGCAGGTTTCTATTTATAAGAAAGACCTTGAAATGATCTTGAACGTAAAGTTAAGGGTCAAATCCCAGATTTCCCGCCAAAATTTACTACAGACCTGAAATTGATACTTATTTTCATCACTAGTCCTGTCAGATTTATAGTCGTTTTCCTATCAGCATACACTTGATCCTCATTTGATATCTAGTAGTCATCCTGACCTTGAATTTTAATTATGTGTAAACGTAAGATTTTCTGCTCTTCCAGCAACAGAAATAAAGGTCTCTATTTGAAAAAAAAAATGATCGTAAAATTAACCTTGAGGGTGAAAGTCAAGGTCAAATTCAAGACCACCGTTGAATTCCTTGCTGAAAGTTGAGCAGTCGGGGAAAAGTACGCCGCAAGCTTAAAAAACTTTATAACTATACGAGGGATTTCTTTTAAGTTTTGCAAAGAGAAACATAGCAGGCCGCGCGGATCGACGTCAGTACTGAATCTTAAACTCACTCTTTAGTAAACTTAAATTATTGTTATTATTATTAATGCATCAAATACCGGTTCAAAACTTCCCTCTAATGGAAAAGTACTAGCGGTTTTGTTCTATAACATCCGGGAAGAGAAACTCATAGTAAAAAAAATACTGTAGGCTTACTTTTTATGGAACAGGAATGACTGAAAATAAATTTAAGTGAAACAGAGATTGTGAAACGTCAAATAACTAAACAATAATGGGTCGCTATAGATTGACTTTCATTTGTTTTCTACAGCCTACTATTCTTTTCAAATAAATGCTATTTGGAAACATTCTAAGTTTTCGTAGCCTCCTTACTTTCTTGCAGCGATCGGTAGCCTAAGCGAAATGGTTGCGATTTTAATTTGTTACTAAACCGATAGTAGCTTGCAGAACATCATTGGTAAAGCGTTTTCATTTAGAGCCCATAATCCAAAAAACTACTTTTTGATTTGCAATACCTACGAGGGATGTCTTTTAAGTTTTGCATATAGAAACATAGTAGGCTGCGCGGATCGAACGTCAGTACTGAATCCCACTCTTTAGCAAACTTAAATTCAAACTTTCACAACAAGTGTTCTCACTACAGTGAATTTTTAAGTGTCACCAAGTCATTAGAAAAATGGAACATTTTCGCGCCATAATTTATTACAACTTTCAGAGACAATTATCGCAACAAGAATGCCTTGCTGAGTTACTGTCGGTTTTCGACAACGAAGCGCCATTTCTGTCGACAATTCCCCGTTGGTATGGAGAATTCAAACGTACACGGGTGAGCCTTAGCGACGATCCCAGGGTGGGTGCACCAAAAACGGCAGTCACGCAGGAAAACCTCGATACTGTGCGCAAACTCATCATTCAAGAGAGACATGTGACATATCGCGAGATTGAGGCGACCTTGAAGATCTCAAAGACCTCAATTCGACGAATTTTACATAAAGAATTAGCAGTAAGAAAATTAGTTTCTCGTTGGATACCCCAAATGTTGACTGAAGAGTAGAAAGCAACCAGGGTTAATTGGTGTCAAAAAACGCTTGACCGTTTTAATACCGGAAACTCAAAAAATGTGTACAGCATTGTTAGTAGTGATAAATCGTGGATTTGCTGTTATGAACCAGAAATAAACGGCAGTCGGCTGTTTGGGTGTTCAAAGGTGAAGAAAAGCCAACAAAAGTCATACGTTCTCAAAGTGTTTCGAAAAGATGGTCGCGACGTTTGTGTCAAAAGCGGGTCATATTGCAACAATTTCTCTTAGTGATCAAATAACTGTTACTGCGGATTGGTATACCACCATTTGTTTGCCAAAAGTCATCACCGAGCTTCGAAAAATCAACCGCGAAAGAAGAATCATCCTCCACCAGTACAATGCAAACTGGCACACAGACCAAACAACAAGGCAGTATTTAACGGAAGAAAACGTGGAATTATTACCTACCGTGTTGTTTTATTTCCATATGGAAAACTTAAAAGACATCCCTTGTATCCCTCCGGAATAACCTCGTTGACTACACCCCTGCATAGCAGACTAGGACTCAAACCCTACTTACCCGTCGGCTGTGTATCTGATATCAGCTCGATAGTCGTAAGGAGAATCGACGCTTCTCGATAGGAATTCTGCTTCCCTCGAGAACCTCTTCAACGGATTGGCTGTCGCCTGACGTTTCAGACGATTCGTCGGTAGCGTCCTATATACACACAAAAAACAAACGACAGTGTTAGTTTTCATGACAGCACCTGCAGATCGTATGTTTATACACAGAAATCTCTTTCGTTGATAGGAAAAGCAGGCACTCGAAAAACAAGGTGCGTTGCAGATTGAGGAAACAGATTCAGGTACACTATTTGTCGTGTGCTAGGTGGAACAAACTGGTGGGACGTGCTTATAATTCTTACGCTTGTGAATGAGTTCTAGAGACATTTTGACCATCTTTACAGCTACCGCTTGGAACTTCATTTATTTATTTTATGTAAATCTGTAGCTCAGGTTTGTTTTTACAGCAAGGTGTCGTAAGCAATAGATTCATGGCTGTCTGTTTTTTAAAATGATGTTCCAACTGTGTTAGTTTCCACGTATCTAGCTTCCTAGTGAATCACTGTTTAGTGTATGGCAAGGTTCTCGAAATTGAAATGTTGTACAATAACTGCTTTAATATGAATAAATCATTGAAGATATTGAAGAAAACAAAATATTTACATAATTTCAAGTAGGAATCAGAAAAAGATATTCTACTGAAACAGCAATTCAAATGGCAGTAGGTGAAATTGGAATGAAAAAAGATCTATGGAAACTTTGCTCTTCGATTCCAAGAGAGCATTTGAGACTATTGACAGGGAGGAATTAAAGATTATTTTGTATATTAACGATATTCCCGATGTTTTACAACACTGCAAAATTTAGATGTTTGCTGACGATACATTTATTATATATACAGGGTGGCGCAACGAAAACGAAACAGACGCACTTACTGGCAGCTCAGTTTGTTTTTGGAACTACGCTCAGACCCGTCGATTTTGTTTTCGAGGGGGATACACGTTTGGCAAAAAATCACGTTAACACGTGGGCGGGGGGTGACACCAACCCCAAAATCTTAAATGGAAAGGGGGGTCGAGTGATACCTTATTTTGAACGTCTTTAAATTCCCTTTATAATGACGTAAAATACATGAGCTTCAGTTCAGTAGTTTTGAAGATTTATTGATTTAAAGCTTAAAGTAGATTTTAATAGGTTTGACTAAAAGAATTTACTTAATAAGTAAATGCTTTTCTTCACTACGCCCATGGTTTGTTTATCAATTTCTTGTTGAAAATAGCTATTGGAGCGTTTTTTGTGGCAAAAAAGTTATTTCTTGAAGAAAGATAAGAAAATATCTCGTAAATTTTAAATAGGAATTTAGTACATAGTTTGCGATTGATATATATATATATATATATATATATGATATGAAAAACATAATTAGTTTGTTAAATGTGGATAGACTCAAATTAAAGACAAATAAAACAAATTGTATGCTCAAAGGAAAATTGTTAAATGAAAATACGATAAATATTACGGATAATCATGAAAAAATTGAGTCAGTTTATCATTTAAATATTTGGGCACATACGTAGACAGTGAGTTAAATTTTAAAGGGCACTATGGATATGTTATTTCAAAAATATCCAGAAAGATGAATTACTTTTGTAGAACCTCTCATAGGTTAAGCGTTTATTCTAAAAAAAATTGTGTACAACACTATCGTTCTTCCTCATTTGTTGTTTTGTTCACTGCAAAGGAAACTATATGTTGAAAAATGCAAGTATTACAAAATAAAGCTATGAGAATCACCTTAAAAAAATAAATAAATAAATATACTACAATAAATTTTATGCTTAGTACAGTAGTTATTCTACTAGAGGGAGTATAGACTACACATTTACATTTTAGTAGCAATATGAGCAGCAAGCAAGTCAGTATTTCAAAGGATTGTACGAATTTATTAAATCAAGTAATGATATCAATATGTGTGCCAGTTTGAAAATGTTCAAGGGGAAATGGAAAAAGTAGTTCATGGCAAACCAGAATTCCTAGTAGTGAAATTTTGTATAGAAATATGTAGTTTTGAAGCCATAATATATTAGGTCATATACTGTGTAACATGGATATTGTGTGAATACGTCTAAAACACTCCCAGATTTCCGATCTTTTGACGTTACTAAGTAGTTTTAACGTTAGAACAAATTTTCTCACTTGACTTAGGCAATCTATATAGTTGTCCCACGCTGACGAATGTAATTTCAGTGTCCTGATTTTTTGATTTATTATTTCAATCTTTACGAAACAATAACTGTCACAATAGCTACGGAGTATCTCTGAACTATTCTTAACGAGACTGCTTTATTAACACCTGACATGTGACAGAGTTATTTACCCCCAAATACAGATGCAATCATTTTTAATTGAAAGATCTGTGCAGACGTGGGTTTAAGGAAAGTAGCTGACTATGCTGTGGATGTTGTTTCCGATAAAAAGCTTTTATGGAATAAAGGAATATTTGAATATGCCTTATTGTAATTGTATCGCATTTCTGTTTCATATAAGGATATGGGTAAGTGTCGTCTTACCTGTAATATCCATCTGTATGATGTTGCTGACGACATGGCATCTTCGGCAGGCCGTAGTCCACAGGATATCCTTCGGTATCAACGACACACCTTCAAAAACAAAGGAAAAGAAACATTTTGAGCGATAAAATGCTATAGCTTTAACTTTAAAAGTTTAAAAGTTGGTGAATGTATTTATCTTACTGTAAATAACAAGTGAAAAAATTTTCAGCCTTATCAGTTGGACATTCCGGTTATTATACTGCTTTTTTAATTCGCTAATGCTCTAAAAATGAATATTTCAGCCGCAGTAAAGAAAAGACCTGCACGATTTCGTCAACTTAGTGAGTCTGATAGGGGCCGTATAGTGGGACTTCGGGAAGCTGGACATTCTTGTCGGGCAATTGCAGTTAGAGTGCAAAGAAGTGTAGAAACTGTGGTTAGGTGTTGTCAGGCATGGCTTCGAGAAGGCCGTACGCAAAAAGCAAGGGGCACTGGACGCCGCCGTAGAACAACAGACCGTGAAGATCGCCGCCTAAGATTATTGGCCTTAAGGGACCGTTTCTCCACTACCAGGTCCATTGCAAATGAATGGTTTGCAGAACACGGAAGACCTATTGGCATGCGAAGTGTTTACCGACGAATGAGAAGTTTTGGCTTGTTTTCATACCGGCCACACTGGGTCCTCCCTTTAACTCGAGAACACCGACGTAATCGCCTTGAGTGGTGCAGACAACGGTCACTCTGGGATCAGGAATGAAACAGTACTGTCTTTAGTGACGAGTCTCGATTTTGTTTAGGCATGCACGATGGTCGTGCCAGGGTTAGAAGGCGACGTGGTAAAAGGAGGAATCCACAGTTTTTTGTTGAAAGACATGTTCATCACACTGTTGGAGTTATGGTTTGGGGTGCTATAGCTTATGGTTCCAGGTCACCTTTAATCTTCATCAGAAGTAACATGAACGCGCAGCGTTATATCCACGAAGTTCTAGAACCCCATCTTTTACCCTATCTTGACACCCTGGCAGATCCAACTTTCCAACAAGATAATGTCCGACCATATGTTGCAAGAGTCACAATAGACTTCTTTCAACATAATGATGTCACATTATTACCATGGCCACCAAGATCTCCCGACTTATCCCCAATTGAGCACGTGTGAGATATGATGGGAAGGAGATTGCTCAATTTGCAACGTCCTCCTCAGACTCTAGAAGCACTTCGAGAGGAGTTGGTGGTTGCCTGGAATGAGATACTACAGGAGGACATTGACCACCTGATCAGAAGCATGCCTAGGCGCGTTGGAGAATGCGTAGCACATCAGGGTGCATCCACACATTATTAAAGGTCAAAGGGCTTTAAAGCAGTGCAATCATTTTGAAATTTTTATCATTTACTTATTATGCTTCATTAAGTACTTATACAAAATTTTATTAAAATAAAACCATTTAAACTGGGTGTTCGGATTTATATGTCACTTAGTATATTTATAGCGTCGTTCATCCATTCCGATCCAGAACATGATAGATATTATAAACCTAATATTCTGCCTACTCTTCAGGCCATACTGAACCGCCCTGTATAGAGCGCACGAGAATGGTTATCGCCAGATCCCTACTGTGGCATCCCACCGCTAACTTCGAGGGAGTGAATTTCGCAAAACCGCAAGTGCACCTAAAACTCCGCAACCCGCAAAACCTCAATAAGCCCCGCAACCCCAAGGGTGTTCTCCAACAGTGCCACGATTGGATATACGTTTTAAGTGCGTCCTATTTGTATTTAGAACCCACAAGTGAAAGAAGGGGCAGTGCCAACTTGGCTAGCCAGGAGAAACGGAAACCAAGAGGAGCTTCACCATCTTAAGCGAGGCGACAGGCACTTTTCAATCGGGTCATTAGGGCGTTAAGCCAAACCAGCCCTTTTTCTTTCACCACTAGTGCAACCACACCTACTATCAGAAACCGTCATCAAATAGCTGCAAAGGGGCCACCGGGGAGCACGAGGATCAAAGCAATTTTTTTTTGTTCTGTTATTAGCAATATTACTAATCAAATCCAAGCTAATAACCAATATTTCTGTGTTATGTACCGCGGTTAGAATATAGTTTAAGATGACGTCGGCTACTCGAATCGCTTGAACGCGTTGGTTTTAAGCGCGGTTTTGTTGCAAGTTGTTTACTTTAGAAAAGCGGGTATATAATTTCAGACTGCTTTTATTATCACGTAATAATCGGAGCTTTTTCGTCTAGAGTGGTGGTATGGAAAGTTTAAAAAAGAGAACTTTCATAATATCAATGGGATAAATGTTTTTTTCCAGAAGGTATTGTTCAGTTGTTAAATCACTTGATGAAATCTCACATTTTTAAATAAATTTGGATGCCCAAAATTTTAATGGTGGAACCATGGCTTTTTAGCTATGATAATTTTCAATTCTCTGAACTTTTCTGCATGTCAAATAAAAAATTAATTTATTTAGCAGGCATGGTACGAAAAAGCGATGAAAAAAGATATTAGCAAAACTATATACAGGTGGACACTATCCAGTGAGCTTATATGGCCATATTTTAATATTCTTGTGGTAAATGGCTATACAGGATACTTTGTTAAGCATAGGAACTAGATTTAAAGTATTCCTAACAATAGTAATAAGTATAACTAATAAGGTGCTTTACTTTATGCTACAACTGAAGTCAGACTGTATCAAGTTTCAAAAAAATATAACTGAAGTACAACAAAAATATCCAATACCCGCCAAAACTCTAACTTGTCACATTTCCAATAATAACCAGAAATATAAAACTACTCCGTAGTTGGGTAAATACCACAATTTTACGGTGATAACTACAGGGTTTGTCCGGAAAGTAATAGGACTGAGCCGATTTCAAAAAAATTATTGAGCCAATCGTTACAATTATTTAAAAACTTTCAAAATAGGCTCCTTCTGCGTCGCTGCAGCGCTGCCAGCGCGATTTCCAAGCATCGGAGGCGTCACGGAAGGCATTCTCCGGAATAGCCTTGAGAGCCGCGGTGCATGCTGCTTGGATCCCCTCTGTCGTCTCAAAATGCTTGCCTTTCATCGGCCTTTTCAGGCAAGGAAACAAAAAAAGTTCGGGGGGCCACATATGGGCTGTAGGGCAGCTGCGGAAGCGTTGGGATGCCGCCCTTGGTCAGGTAGCTGTTCACAAGAAAGGCGGCGTGAGCCGGGGCGTTGTCGTGGTGCAACTTCCAGTCGGCTGCGATGTCTTGTCGGACCCGACTGATCCTTCGTTTGAGTCTCCTGAGAACTTCCACGTAAAACTTGGCGTTGACGGTTTGTCCAGGAGGAACAAATTCATGGTGGACGATGCCTTTGATGTCAAAAAAGACAATGAGCATCGTTTTCACTTTGGATTTGCTCATTCTGGGCGAGGAGACGCCGTCGTGTGCCTCTTTGTGTCGGGATCATACTCAAAGATCCACGACTCGTCACCTGTGATTACGTTACTCAAAAATTGGGGGTGACTTTCACACATGTTCAAATTTTCTTGGCACACTTCCACTCGCCGCAATTTCTGGTCGTCAGTGAGCACTTTTGGGACCATCTTCGCGTACACCTTGCGCATGTTCAAATGCTATGTCACAATGTCATGAACCACAGATTTTGGTAAATTTAGCATCTGGTCAATTAAACGAATACTTAGTCGACGGTCTGAGTTCAAAGCTTTGCGCACACGAGTCACATTATCGGTGTTTGTCGAAGTCGAAGGTCTTCATCAGCGACCCCTTCCCGGCCCTCCAGAAAGGCCTGGTGCCACCGAAACACACCACTTCTTGCTAAAGCAACACCTGCGTAAGCCTGCGTGATCATATCAAACGTCTCTGTCGCAGATTTACCGAGTTTCACACAAATTTTAATCGCGTACCTCTGCTCTAACGAACGCTGCATTTTCGGCTTGCACCACTCACAGAAACACGTCGCGCGAAAATGCCTGTCCTGACTCTCCAAGTGCTCGGAGACAACTGACCAGCCGCTCATTCGTTAGCTAAGAACGCCCTCTACCGAATCCAGTCGGAGGTACAGTCGTGGCGGAAGAAAACGAGTCCTATTACTTTCCGGACAAACCCTGTAAGTATTACGTATAACAGCTGATTGATAACGACACGGATATTATAATCAAACTGATAACCTCACTCGCTTGAACGGATCGGTAAATATCAATCCGATATGGTAAATACCGTTTTCATTTGGTTATTCGCTTGAATTTGATTACTATTTCTATTATATCGAGTTTTCCAATAGGGATTTGAAAACTTTGAACTTTCTTTGTGAACCCACATTTAAGCCAATTACCGAACTGTCAACGTCAAAACATTCAGTAAAGAAAACATTTTCATCATGGCGAAGTACACGAACGCACAACGCTTACAAATAATTAAAATTTACTTCCGAAATTCCGAGTCGGTGACTGCAACTTTAAGGACAAATTCCAAATCTTGACTGTTGAATGTGGCGAAGCTACTTTGGACAAAAGCAACGTTTATCGGTGGTACAAAATGTTCTCAGAGGGCCGAGCGACGAAAAGCGTTCCGAACACCCGAGCACGTCAACAACAGACGAAAACATTGATGAGTTCTTGCCCCAGGGTAGAACGGTGAATAAGAAATATTACCTTCAAGTAATGCGCAGTTTGCGAGAAGCAATCCGCCAGAAACGTCCGGATTTGTGGAAGAACAAAAATTGGCTTTTGCACCATGATAACGCCCCTGCTCATGCATCGAATTTTTGGCCAAAAACAACAGTCCAATGATGCCTTGCCCACCGTATTGCCCAGACCTGCCCCCCTGTGAGTTTTTCTTGTTCCCCAAACTGGAAAGGCCCATGAAAGGATGACGCTACGACACGATTGTGGAGATAAAGGCGGCATCGAAGGAAAAGCTGAACAAGATCACAAAAAATGATTTTTCAAAATGCTTGGAGGATTGGAAAAATCGTTAGCAGAAGTGTATAATGTCTGATGGGGATTACTTTGGAGGGGACAAAAACAAATAAATAATTCTTGAAAAAACATGAAATTCGCGATACTTTTTGAACAAATGGAATCAAGAGGAACTACCAGGGGAATGGAAAAGCAC